TGCGGCACATCTGTCGAAATGAAAGCCACGGATACTGCGAGTCATGTCGTTAGAGAGGGTGAGGGCATAGAGTTCACCGGTTCTTAAACTGATGACCAGTTTCTCATTGGATATGAAACACGCTTTGGAAGAGTCGAGAGATATTTTGATGTCTTCTTGAGGTCGCAGAAGGAATGAAGTGTTGCCTTCAGTGAAGCCATTCAACGAGACACCAAATGGCGGCAAACCTTGATTCAAGTGAATGAGCGCACTGTTGGCCAATATTAAGACACCGCCGATGGGTTTGGGGACCGGCATGGCTTGGAAACAGTCGTACGGCAAGTGATTGACAGACCAGATGTGCGGATGAACTCTCTGGTGGACGTCTAGCGAGAGGACAAGCATAGCACAGGTGTCCTGTCGTACGGCCACCCGTCCGGCCCACGTCCTCACGGGTTCGTAGAGTATGAGAAGCGTTGGCTCGTAATAGTTGTGCAGAAACTGTATGTCTATTATATTATTCACTTTCTCTCCGTACTGTTCACTATTCAGATCCAACTTATAAGAGGCCATAACCGGCGACTTAGAGGCGGTGCTCGTCATCGGGAAGGCTGTCACGGGAGTGGACTTCTGGTCATCGGTGGCGATGTCCTTACGAAACGGCAAAATCATTATATTCTTGGCGTACAGGAGAAGAGCGGCGCACCGGCTGTCGGGGTCGCACCGGACGATCGGCGGGTGCGAGAACTGAGTGAACCCTCCCCTGAGCTCCTGTTCCTCGAAGTAGTGAAGGGATGTGGTCTTGAGGTCATGAGTGTTGGGGTCGTACTCGACGACAGACAGTTTGGCCGACCGGAAGGCCAACAGCAGTGAATCCCTTTGTGAGGACACAAACGACACTTTACTTATGGACTCAATGTTGCCGAAGAGTGTGAAACTCTGGATGCACTCCAAGCGCACCCGCGATGACTCCTTCCCTCCATTATTGGTGTCTTTATTGGTGTCTCCGATCACCTCTTCGTCCGCCGATTCGCTGACCAATCGATAGACTTTGAGTTGAGTGCAGCCGACGGTCACTAAATTGTACTCAAAGTTGTTGTAAAAGTGACAATAAATTGATTGCTCAGTTTGTGTCGGCAAATGACTGGTCCGACAGATGCCATACATGTCTGACCACTGGTTAACTGATCCGATCACTGTGAACAACAACAATCACACAATCATTGCTTTTGTGGTGATTTTGGTTCAAAAACGTGAAATTCATTCATAAATACATGTCTGCAGTCATGGACTCATTGAGGCCTATAGTGGGCGCCACTCACCACACCTTCAGGCAATTCTTGCAGAATCTATACAATACCGGCGCTTATCATAGAATAACTACTGTATCATATCATACCTGTCCCTTATTCACTGTATTCTTTAATTACAACACAAACTACTCTATAACCTTTTACTAAATATGTTTATAATACTACCTTTAGTCAATGTAATAGTAAATGTGTTTTACATGAAACTACATGTTTTACAGTAGGATTATAATGAAACCAAATGAATGAATTTGAAATAAATAAACAAGGTGATGTTATTATTCTTATGATTATTGTTTAATGAGATGAGTGTTAGATCAACGGATAGTATATTTATAGGAAAGGGTGATTTGGTGACTCCTTTTATACATACCATTCAGAATTTGTTCACTCGATTCTGTGCCCATAGTAAACATGATTTGAATATTCAAATACATGTATTGATATATTTTTGAAATGAAAGTATTGAGACAATTATCAAACACAACAAAATATTTTAATTGGGTTATCGTTTAGTGTAAATTACAATCAGAGGATAAGCCTATGAATCCAATAAAACCCTGTACTCGACCGGTATATTATGTGAGAAATAGTTTGGTTTATTGTAACTGGATACTAACTGGACTAAAAGTGCAAAAACTAAATTATTCAAACAAATTATATCAATTCTTGTGCTTTAAATCATATTATGTGACGAGATTTATGATCACTTGAATGAGATTAATAAAAACTAAATCACAAAATAATAATAATATATAAAAATATACAAAAATTATTAGAAATAAATGAAATAAAAATAATTGATATCTTTATACTAATAATATAAATAAAACTTAATAATCAATGAAATGAATGTGAGTTTGATTGATTGCACACAACATTCTTAATAAAAATCTTTAAATAAATGACAATTTGTTTTGTTTTCATGGCACAAAGACTAGCTATACCTCAGAATTTATAGATTTTTTTATATTCTATACTATCTATTTATTTAAAAACCATTATTATCAACGCCAATGATACTGTATGAGTTTTATAATGAATGCTAACATAACCTTTTTTNGGCACATCTGTCGAAATGAAAGCCACGGATACTGCGAGTCATGTCGTTAGAGAGGGTGAGGGCATAGAGTTCACCGGTTCTTAAACTGATGACCAGTTTCTCATTGGATATGAAACACGCTTTGGAAGAGTCGAGAGATATTTTGATGTCTTCTTGAGGTCGCAGAAGGAATGAAGTGTTGCCTTCAGTGAAGCCATTCAACGAGACACCAAATGGCGGCAAACCTTGATTCAAGTGAATGAGCGCACTGTTGGCCAATATTAAGACACCGCCGATGGGTTTGGGGACCGGCATGGCTTGGAAACAGTCGTACGGCAAGTGATTGACAGACCAGATGTGCGGATGAACTCTCTGGTGGACGTCTAGCGAGAGGACGAGCATAGCACAGGTGTCCTGTCGTACGGCCACCCGTCCGGCCCACGTCCTCACGGGTTCGTAGAGTATGAGAAGCGTTGGCTCGTAATAGTTGTGCAGAAACTGTATGTCTATTATATTATTCACTTTCTCTCCGTACTGTTCACTATTCAGATCCAACTTATAAGAGGCCATAACCGGCGACTTAGAGGCGGTGCTCGTCATCGGGAAGGCTGTCACGGGAGTGGACTTCTGGTCATCGGTGGCGATGTCCTTACGAAACGGCAAAATCATTATATTCTTGGCGTACAGGAGAAGAGCGGCGCACCGGCTGTCGGGGTCGCACCGGACGATCGGCGGGTGCGAGAACTGAGTGAACCCTCCCCTGAGCTCCTGTTCCTCGAAGTAGTGAAGGGATGTGGTCTTGAGGTCATGAGTGTTGGGGTCGTACTCGACGACAGACAGTTTGGCCGACCGGAAGGCCAACAGCAGTGAATCCCTTTGTGAGGACACAAACGACACTTTACTGATGGACTCGATGTTGCCGAAGAGTGTGAAACTCTGGATGCACTCCAAGCGCACCCGCGATGACTCCTTCCCTCCATTATTGGTGTCTTTATTGGTGTCTCCGATCACCTCTTCGTCCGCCGATTCGGTGACCAATCGATAGACTTTGAGTTGAGTGCAGCCGACGGTCACTAAATTGTACTCAAAGTTGTTGTAAAAGTGACAATAAATTGATTGCTCAGTTTGTGTCGGCAAATGACTGGTCCGACAGATGCCATACATGTCTGACCACTGGTTAACTGATCCGATCACTGATCACAACAACAGTCACACAATCATTGCTTTTGTGGTGATTTTGGTTGAAAAACGTGAAATTCATTCATAAATACATGTCTGCAGTCATGGACTCATTGAGGCCTATAGTGGGCGCCACTCACCACACTTCAGGCAATTCTTGCAGATTCTACAATACCGGCGCTTATCATAGAATAACTACTGTATCATATCATACCTGTCCCCTATTCACTGTATTCTTTCATTACAACACAAACTACTCTATAACCTTTTACTAAATATGTTTATAATACTACCTTTAGTAATAGTAAATATGTTTTACATGAAACTATGCTTATTACAGTCAACATACAGTAGGATTATAATGAAACCAAATGAATGAATTTGAAATAAATAAACAAGGTGATGTTATTATTCTTATGATTAGTGTTTAATGAGATGAGTGTTAGATCAACGGATAGTATATTTATAGGAAAGGGCTGCTGATTTGATGACTCCTTTTATACATACCATTCAGAATTTGTTCACTCGATTCTGTGCCCATAGTAAACATGATTTCAATATTCAAATACATGTATTATATATTTTTAAATGAAAGTATTCAGACAATTATCAAACACAACAAAATATTTTAATTGGGTTATCGTTTAGTGTAAATTACAATCAGAGGATAAGCCTATGAATCCAATAAAACCCTGTACTCGACCGGTATATTATGTGAGAAATAGTTTGGTTTATTGTAACTGGATACTAACTGGACTAAAAGTGCAAAAACTAAATTATTGAAACAAATTATATCAATTCTTGTGCTTTAAATCATATTATGTGACGAGATTTATGATCACTTGAATGAGATTAATAAAAACTAAATCACAAAATAATAATAATATATAAAAATATACAAAAATTATTAGAAATAAATGAAATAAAAATAATTGATATCTTTATACTAATAATATAAATAAAACTTAATAATCAATGAAATGAATGTGAGTTTGATTGATTGCACACAACATTCTTAATAAAAATCTTTAAATAAATGACAATTTGTTTTGTTTTCATGGCACAAAGACTAGCTATACCTCAGAATTTATAGATTTTTTTATATTCTATACTATCTATTTATTTAAAAACCATTATTATCAACGCCAATGATACTGTATGAGTTTTATAATGAATGCTAACATAACCTTTTTTAAATGTGTCAGACATTTGATTATTTTAAATATCATTACAAATGAGTTTACATTACAAATCAAACAAAAGGAACCAATTTTTGAATAATTCCCACATTTTGTTGACTAGTTTTTAGAGAATATGAGTGAAGATATGATGAGTTGAGATCATAACATATGAAAACATAAAACTCTTTTTTGTTTGAATCAAATGGCAATTATTGGGTTAAAATGAAGAGTTTTTTAAATATATTATTTGGTCGACTCTGTCGTGACTAACGACTGACTAGTCATTCCATGTGACAGAATAGGAGTTCATTATTCGTTTTTTATCTTATTATCCCTGACATCACCTGCACTGACAGTAGGAGCAGATGGAGTGCTCTTATTGCCAACACTTCCACAACTATTGGAGGCATTGGAGGCAGAGGCAGAAGCAGGTGTTGGACTCCGGCTTTTGCTCGTCTTCTCCACACAACTCGACGACTGTGTTAGCGATCCGTTGGAGCCATTGGTGACAGTGTTCTGACACACTCTGTGGTGATTCTCCCAATCCTTGTGCTGACAGAATGAACCGCAATATCGGGCAGAATTACATCCACTGCACGTCTCACTCGCTTTTCGGCCACAATTCCAACAGTTCTGACAGTTTGACAAACAATTCAATTTTAATGCAATGTTTCAATTTTGCCATAAATTCAATAAAGTCTCACTTCAGTGGAGTCGTCCTGATGGGTGATGGCCACCAGTGCCTCTTCAGCGGCCTGTCGTCGCGCATCGGTCACCAGTTTCTCCATTTTGATGCGTTCGGCGGCAACCAATTCAGTCGCTTTGGTCTCCGCCGCCGATACCGCTTTCTGCAACTCAACCACCGCTTGACGTTTCACTTCATTTACGGCTTCCTCTTCTCATTAAATTTAAATTATTGTTTAATTTATTATCAAGAATTGAAATAAAGTTTTTTTTAAATCATTGACTACTATTCTATAAGACAATTATTGGAAATTATTCACTAATGAAATAAGTTTAAAATATACAAAAAATACTACTCATTTAAAAATCTTTATTGACCTTAAAATAAGAATTTGTAGAAATTGGAAAATATGAACAAACAAATTAAAATAGGGTTAAAGTTATAATAAAAATAATGCAAAAGTAAGTCATTTACCCAATTGTTTATGAGTGCCGGGAATGCGGCGAATGTCAGCGATTCTGTCGATCTCAGAGAGGGCTGTCTTTTGGAAATGGTTGGACAGAAGGCCATCGATTCGCGGTTTCTTAATGTCATGAAATTCGTGCGATGAGTGAGACGAATGCGAAACGTCTAATGGACTAAAATGTCGGGTGCGAAGGGATGGCATATTCCAGAGGCCAGTATTACCACTATATTCTGTAACTCTGGATTCACTCCTATGCTGCAGAATAGCCAGTGCTCTCTTAGTCTTCTCAACCATTCCCAGAATGCAATTCAACATCTTTTGTAAGATTTTGTAAGATTTATATAAATTATCATTTCTATTACAATATAATACTCTGAGAGCACATACAGTGTTAATATTCTTCCACTCCTCCTCCATATCCCTGTCATCGTTATAATCCCTATGTATTTGAGAGTATAGGCCAACACTAGGTCTGCAGTACTCCCTCTCAAACCTTTCGGCGACTGAAGAATATCTGTCACTCGAGTGCTCAGCCGATGGATGCGATGAATGATTTCTTCCGTTTATTGTATTTTCTCTGTTATTACTCGAGTTATGAAAGAGAGCCGAAGCGCTGCCAGTGTTGTGGTCGTCAAACATGGATCTGCCAGAAGTGGACAGATGTGAGTGCAATATAGACGGGTTCGACATGTGGTGCGAGTGATGACCGCCTGAATGCAGTAACAACGGCGCCAAACCGGCCGGACTTAAACGGGTGCCTAATGTGGGGCTGAGTAATGGCTGATGTCTTTTAGGGGGCGGAGGACCAGAATCTCTGTCAACCGTTGAATCGTTAAATCCATTCTCTTTGATTAGACTGAAAAACGGATTATAAAACCCATGTTTTAATGAATACATTAATTTTTAACCTTGTAATAAATATTTGATGTATTATTTTCAGATTGAAATCGATTTTTACATAAGTTATAAAAAGTTCATTAGTTTTGTTCATATTATATTCAGTACTTTCTAAACTCATTAATATTTCACTACAATTATATGGGAATATTCTGAATTTTATGATATCAAATGACATAGTTGTTGAAATATATTGTTAATGGTAATGAATGAACTGGCTTACATTTCAGGAGACGTACGTCTTTTGTTTTGAACCTCTTTTTGGGGTTCATTTCGTTGGAATATCTCGAAGGGCTCGCCCACTGACAGGGAAGTCGATTGAGGGCTTGAGTCTAATATTAGGGATTCATGTTCTCTGAGATACTGTGAGGGACTTGTTTTGGCCAGTCGTGCGAAGTGCACGATATCTGTCTGAAGGATCGGCAGATGAAGTTTGAGAAACGGTATGACATATGGTCTCAAAGGATAGTTTGTTATCTCTTGGATCTTCTGATGAAATTCTTCAGTACTTATCGTCGAATTCTTTCGTCAAAACAATAAAAAATTAATTTTTATGAACAAATAGTTTATAAAATACAGTTAATTATAGTTATATATTATTCAAGTGTTATAATATGCTATTAATTATTGGCAAAGAAACTAATGAATTTTGATAAAAATAAATTAATTACTCGCTTATAATTTATTAGTTCAAAAGTATTTATAATTATTTTTACAACTTTGCGATATTTATAAAAAATAAATACAGATATTAAAATATACAGATGAATAAACAATAGGATAAGCTTATAGCATGAAACAATATACTATAGTACACTATAGAATATTTTTAAATTTCAATATTGATGAATTGTTTAAAAACATATATAGGAATTTTTAAATTGTATATGAAAAATAGGATACTGCGAAAAATTCTTAAATATAAATAATATTTACAATTATTAATATACTTTATAACGTAATAAAATATAATTTATTAATTATTACCAAATGAGCTAAAATTTATTGAGATTAATTTAAATCTTTATAAATTAAACTAAAGTCTTCAATTAATAAAATCTGTTTTCAAAATTAAATGTCACTGAGCATAACACTTATTTTATTTTAAAATTTATTACAAAACCTATTTTTAATTAATAGTGAGTTGAATTAACCTTATGTTCCGGTAAAGATTATTTATTTAAATGGAAAAATAGCTTTTAAATAGAAGTTTCACAAAACCCGAATTTTATACAGTATAAAGTATTTATTTATCGTATATACCATACTTTTCCTATGTATAAGTTAGGTGGGAATTTAGATCACATTATAAATGGAAAAATAGCTTTTAAATAGAAGTTTCACAAAACCCGAATTTTATACAGTATAAAGTATTTATTTATCGTATATACCATACTTTTCCTATGTATAAGTTAGGTGGGAATTTAGATCACATTTAATCATGCATTTATACTGTATTTAGAGTATAATAGAAATCTCACATCATTTCAATGCTGTCCAACACATTAACCACATTTGCAATCATAGCATATGATTGTAAATTGAAACATTAAATTCAATAGAATTGTGTTGTATTCAAAACGAAATATAATTTCACATGATTTTAATTAATAAACAAATAAAAGAGGAACAAAACATGTAATAAAAATGTTCTTTAATAACACTTTTCAAGGATCCGATTCAAGGGATAGGATTGGAGAATAGTTTATACCAAACCTAGACTCACAGACTTTCTAACCATAAGTTGTAAATGACCCTCACATATTGTTTATTAATTTAATTTTTGTAATGTATAAAACTATAAACCAGAAGTTATAATAATTTAAATTGTAAATCTATACCTAATAATTATTTTTAATTATGTATTGATAGATAAACAATTGAATGAGTAGGCACGTTTTAAGTAGATTAAACTTAACAGTTTTAGATAGAGTTTAATACATTTTAAAGAAATACTGTAAATGTTAATTTTTACGCTAGCTTAATTAGACATTTTGTGAGATAGGTGCTTTTACATTTGATGATTACATTATAGAATAAAATTAAAAATACATAAAAACTTACGACAAGTGCGACGACCAGTGCCTTAACTCTATCGCCGACTTCTGGAGAGATGTCGTGAGCGAAGTGATACAAAGTCGTCAGAAATCGCTTCAATTTACTAATTTGCCGAACACTCGAAACTGAATCACTGGGGTTTGAATGAGTGCGTGAAGTCATATGAGCACCGGGAGGCGAAGGAGATAGCGATTGTTTGCCACTTATGTGATTATTAGTGGGCGAATGACTTCCATTGGAGTTGGCTATAAATTGCAGACAAACAAAATGTATTTGTGAAACAAATGGTAGAAAACTTTTTAGCAAATGTTAGAATTTTTACAGCTTTTTGGTATCAATCCATTAGAGGAGAAATTATGATTTGTTTGGTTTGTTTGGGGCGGAGAAGGCGTTGAGATTTGGGTTAATTTCACTTCTGATGGAGAGGTTGGCATTACATTAGATGATAGAGCGATAGACCGAACGAAATCTGTTTACAAGAAATACAATCAAATAATTAAACATTTCTAAAATCATGATATGGTTTGTGAACCTTTTTTCCAAACCGGCATTTCTATGAATAAAGTCATTACATAAACAGATGAAAAGTTTTGTTCACTAAAAAACTAAGATTTCATTGAACGCTATATATTTTAATATGTTATATAACATATGAACAAATTTTTTTATATAAATGTATGGCAGTAATGAATGGTTTGAAATGAATTAGTTGTGTATAGGACTGAGAAATTTATAAATATTGGATTTGTTGAACACAAGTGAAGTTTGCCGACAGAGTAACTGTAAGACAGGTATACATACAGTACTATACAGTGCTATAGAATAGCATAGAATAGTAGTTATTCGTATTGACGAACTCATAGGCAACTGATAATATGCAGCACAAAACGGGACTAAAACATCTGTGACACAATCATGTGAAGGTAACCACATGTCACTATTCAATGTACTCTGGGTCGATTTGATGAATAAATGAAATGTCGCACACCATCTATGCCCACATCGATAACAACTCCAATTGAGAGCCACAACTCAAACTCAAGCAATAAAATTAGTTTTTTGCCTATTTATAAGTCTTTCCTTTTATGTATTCTCATAAATATTATTATAATATGGTATCAATGTCTAAATGAAGACAATAGAATGAATGAAAGGTATATCAGACTTAAAATTGTTTACAAAAAAATAATAATTTTGTTTATTTGGTTTAAATTTTTATATTCATTGATGATATCAAACAAAACTTATTATTTGCTATAAAAAAGGATTAGAAGTATTGATAAAATGAAATGTTGTTTTGAAGTAATAAACATAGGATATGAAGTATTTGTCTCTCATAAGCACATATACCATGTACTATACGATGGTTAGTATGTTTGTGTCTAAACAAACTATTTGTCTTTTCTGAGACTCGGAGCCATTTATATATAATTGAAGAATATATCGATACAGTGTCTGTACTCTCATTGTCGGGCTTTTCTCACTACAGTATAGAATAGTATTGTATTTTGTGTGCAAAGAAAGACTGTGAGAGAAGATTTGAGTGTTTGAGTCGATAAATGCAGTAAAGTTTGTGAATTTAATTGCAAAAATGTCGGGAACAGAAACAGGTGTAAAGTATTGAATAGAGAGTGAGAACTTCTAAATAAGTTTCTTATGTTAACCAAAAATTTCATATCAAACTAACAGTACTTAAAGCCCAGAATAAATGACATGTCGTATGCTATGGTTAATCTGTACATACAGTGGAGAATCAGGGAATCCTATGTATTGCCTATCATTGCAATCAACACAAAAACGTGAAGTAAAAATAGAGCAAAATATTGCATTTTTTATTTATTAACATTTACTACCAAACAGTTGTCATTATTTTCATTATATTCTAAATTTTATTTTATATCAATTCAAGTATACTAATGAAACAAAACAACACAACGCAAGACATCTGTGGCATAGAGTTTACGTTATATTTAATATAATATGCGTCCCATATATTATATTATACAGTATTATATGTATTAAATGAGAGTTTGTTGCTCAAAAACTATTTTCCCTCAAAACCCGCATTTTTCAGACACAGCGCCCGCACTCTATCACTACAGCCCACACTCTATGCACTCTATTATTAATCAAATTTTCATCGGATTAAGTGATTCCTCAACTATATATTTGTTCACTAACTGTGAAAATATATAAATTTCACAAATGTTAGCACACAATAGGGTCTGCCATTCAACTGACCCCATATCGAGGGGAACAGGCGATGGGTGTCTAATCGTTATGTGCTGTTTGTACTGTTTATGCATCACTTTATAATCATTATTGTAATTGTCACAAATACTATCGGAATTCACGAATAAATAAACAAAATTTTTATAATTTATAAGTAAATCTTATTCTCAATGTTTGTCAAACAAATTAATTCTAATCTATTTTATTGATACTATTAATACATTTTTAGCAATAATTTTTCAGATTTCATAATACAGTAAATTACAAATGAGTAAAGAATTTGTAGTAAGAATTGAGTAATAATTGAATAACACGTATGGGAAGTGATATTTGCTTTGATAGCTATTAATATATTGTAAACAGGAAGGACAGGGAGATGGTAACGAAAGTGTGTTTCAGTATCTTTCGAGTAATTGAGTGATTGTTTACTAATTGAATAGAAATATGAAACATATTCTTGAAAGAGTAGGTATAGCTAGTGTGACATACAGTGTGTGTACAGAATTGTAGACTTTATGGTCTATGTGTTGTCACACCTGTTAAAACACATTTGTCTAAACATGAACTCTTCCCAATCATTAGAGTTGATCATTGATCAGCTTATTATCAAATATTGTATTTCATATTTTTCAAACACATTTGAGTGAGTGTTTTGAAGGCACCTGGACTTCAACAGCTCATGTGATCAGCATTTGGTGTTAGTTATTGTGGAATCACTTATTCATTGCGTCACTGAAACACAGCTAAAGAAAACATTTGTGTTTTGTTTGCAAATGTGTATAAAATATATGAAAAATATGAAACTCAAATAGAGTTGAGTTAGAGTTGGGTAGAGCTGTGGGACACCTGTTTAATCAAATGTTTTTGAGTTTCAGTTAAAAACTCATTGCAAACTTTGTCTCAAACGCTGTGTACAATCTGTACAAACAATCTATTCATCAGAATTTGCGAACAAACTTCACAAACGAGTCCGAGATATCGAAACAACACCTGAATTATCGTATCTATTGTTTGAGACAATTATCCATCGATTCAAACATTTTCATATCAATCATCAAATTATGAAGATTCATAAAAATTACTAAAATTTTTACAACAAATTATTCACAACATAAATCTAATAGAAAAACTCAACAATTAACACATATTACTGTTTGAATGATATTTTTGTTAATAAAAAGGTTGTACCGTAAATATTTTGATTCAAAGCACACACACATTGAAACACTTGGAAACTTTTAGAAACAAATTTGTGACAGAAAATAATTTTTCTGTAGCATTTCAAAACTAAACAAATTCATTAGGATCACTTTTTAAAAGTTATTTTGTAACTGATGTGTGAGATATGCAAAGTAAGGGAGAGTTGAGACACATTTATTTGCGGCAATCTGTCGCATCCCTCAGCTGTAAGGCCTGCCATTGGCTCCGAGTCAACAACTTTTGAGAGTGTGGTATAAAACTTGGATTTTTTTATAATTGAAAAAATGGGAACCAATACGGCTTTGGATGCGAGTCTCTGGCGAATGGAAACTCCAGAGTGAGAGTGAAATCAAAAACAAAAGATTACAAACAGTTTTCTCTCAAACATGCATTCAATATAATTCAAATCCTTAAGAAAATTGCGATTTCTTTGTAAAGTTATAATTTAAGAAAATAATTGTGAAAATTGTACAGAATATTCTAGCGAATTGTGCATAGAATAGTGTACTCAATGAATAATCAGGTACATTCTGTATATTTTAAACGTTTATAGCTTTGGGCGCTTGTATTAAAAACGCGTCACAAGTTATCCGTAGCTCAAGTCGTTTAAGGCATTGGCATTTGAGTGTTAAAAACAGATTTCATATTTTCATGTCTGGAGAACAATAGGCAGTCATTGGTTTTTGTCAAATACAGCCGTCGAACCACTAATAGGGATGTGTAGACCGTATGTGTGTATAGTGTGTATGGAGTGCATAGTCGGGGCATTTAAGAGCAATGCTATGCTATGCTGTCATCACAAGAAGCAAAACGTGATTATGAGGGGAAAGCAATGCTAATGTGAGCCAAAACTGCAACCAAATGCAAGTGACAGCTCGACTCCCATTCATTTGCTGCCATTCCGTATTATGAGCGCAGCTTAACCATTGAAACCTATTTAACCCTCTTTTATACCTTTGGTCACAACACATGACAAATACACCTGATTTTAGTCCAATTAAAATCAATAATTTCTATAAATCAATATTTTTTAGCATTTTATAAATTCTTAATTACATGATGAGAAATGTGAAACTTTTCTTATAAGTTATAACCCAAACACAACATCATTGCTATACTTATAGGCGTTTAGAGAGCTAATAATGATTGTAAAGTTACTTACGTTTAAGTTTATAGAGATAATTAATTGAGAATAAATTGGAGTTGAATTGAGTTCACAGTTTGTTATATCTCTCGCATAGGATTGCACACAAACTACACATAAATTATTTTCATACAATTGACAGAACAGAAGAAGCGCTGGAATAGTATTTTCTTAGGAGATGTGCGGATACTGTATATCATGTAAAGCAGAGTTTTGTTTAACACGTGCTGAGCGTCTTCACTGTTAGAGCACTGGTAGGCATCTGTTAGTGTGTGTTGGGAAGCATTGAAGCACTGGTGCCCTCATCTCATTCTGTCTCTCTCTCTCTCTCTCTCTCTCTCTCTTCACACGCAACTCATTCGTTGCTTTCAATCGATTTTCGATTGAGAATAAGCACAGGCCTTACACCCAGACCTACCAGTGCCTCACAATCTTCTACTCATAGCCCAGTCACTCACTTCCACTGCTCTTTGCTATCATACAAAATGATAGCTTTGTATTCACTTTTACACATTGAATATCATGTTTTACATCACTTATGAGATATTATACCAATACTTTACAAATGATTTCCATTTTAAATGTAAAATATTCTCAATCATATCATTTTTGTCCATATATTTGCATAATTTCTAATTTAAAATACTCTTGTCTTACTGTTTGAGCGTAAAGTATTGATACAATTATGTAATACAAACTTATAAATGCAAAACATTATCTAATCATTCAATTATTACTATGAAATATAACTTATATTTTTAAATAGAAAAGTTGAATTTGTTCATATTTATAGTAAACAGTATAAATTCATTTGTATTATTATATAACATTTAATTAATTATAAAAGGTAGACATAATTTTAAAGTATAAATAAAAGTGAATAGATACCTTTTTGTTTTTCAAATCCATTGCTTGAATTGAACTCTCTATTTGATACAAAATTATAGTTCATTTTGTGAGCCATTATAATAGGCA